GTCAACAGTGCTTCTCTCCTGTACAGGCCCACATGCTCTATCATGAATAAAATAGATTATATATATATACACACACATACATATATATAATGAAGTGACCATATATTTTTGTAGTTTTCCTGCCAGGTTTATTCCCTGGGGTACTTGGGGCTATAAATACTTTAATACTTTACCAAGTTGACTTTCTGATGATGTCGATAGATTCACCACAATTTAGTATGTATGAAATGCACATTATGGCATATATTCTGTTTTTTCTTCCAGGTAAGGGAGCGACTGAGGGTTTCTTTAGAAAGAGTCTCTGCCCTGGAAGAAGAACTAGCTGCTGCTAATCAGGAGGTAACATACAACACTTTCTCCCCTTTTGAGGTGCAATATCGCTAACATTATATCCCTTGTGTTTCATGTCACTTTTATTAAAACTGTCACAAAAATAAATTACATTCTGTATATGTCATGGCACAAGTCCTGTTGAAGCAAGTCACCACAGTCTTGTTTTCTGACCTCTGGTTATTCAGATCTGACACTAGGAGACCAAAGGAAAGTTATCAAGACACAGTGACATGTGAGCCAGTGAAATGGAGATTCAGAAAGACTGCAGTCAGAATTCCAGTTCTTCTGAGAAGTAACACACAGCTCCAAAATTGGCAAACATGTCAAATATCTCTATTAAACTTGAAAATGTAACAGGCAAAGTTAACTCCTTGAAGATATATATGTACAACATATGCATGGCTTTGCCTGTTCTTTTCTAAAATCACTCTGCCCATATTCAATGGCTTCCTTGAATCTGCTTCTTTTGCTAACATTCATGAGTCTAAGGAAATATTTTAAGTCATTCTTTTAAAATTTAAAGAGGTGTGGGAACCAGCAGTTAGCGTAATGGCTATGTCACTGGACTCCCACGTAGTCGACCGTGGTTCGCATCCCAGACCCAGTGGCTTAAAACTCACGCCGGGCACGTGTGCATGCATGCCCAAGATCCAGAGAGGAGAATGGAGGAGAAGGGATTGCAGTGTGACCATCCCCCCTGGGGGGTGATTTCTCGCTTTCTGTCTCTATGTCTCTCTCTCTCTGTCTGGCGAGCGCACGCGCCCTATAGCAAAAAACCTCTCAAAAAAAAAAATTAAAGCGGTGTTTTCTCTTTAGAAAGTGTTACTTACTTTGTTTTTAATGCACAAATGAACTCAAATAATTAGACTATATAGGAACAAACTAAATTTATGTCATCCAAACAGCTGCCTCTCTGTTTTTATGTCTCTATCCTTCTCTCTCTCTTTCTACCATTTACAATGTTACCTTTCTCTCCAAAAGGTTTATTTTGGAAATTTAGTACTGGTATTACTAGTACTAGCCCTACTAAAATAATACAACAAGTCTTCCTACCTTTAAATAATTAAAGAGGTGAGAATCTAATACCAGGACTGTTGAGATTTGTGAAAAGAATTCTTAATACAATAATATTTATATACACATTATACACACAAATATAGACATTTTCAAGCCCTACACACACACACACACACTCACACATACACATACACACTTGTCTAGTACAGACTCACTTTTTCTTCAGTATAAGCTAAATCAGTTAAGCTCATTCATGCATGCTTTTGTTCCACACTTAACAATTAAGGCTTTAGAAATAAGGACTGAAAAAGAAGCAAAACATTCAAGGGACACAAAAGTGGAAAATGATCTGTTGATGACAGATAATGTGTATGATAACATCTTTGATCTGTCAATAATATTGTGCATGATAACATCAAAGAACCAATATACAGTGTTTTCACAATGGGTAAACTCATTTGGTACGCTGTAATGATACACAGTAATGGAATGTTAAATAAATAAATAAAGTACTAAAAAAAAATAGGGGAAAAAAAGAGAAGGAATAACACCACAAAAAGAATAAGTTCCACTGAAGTAAAGACTAGGAATATTAAAAGCATAAGAAGAGAGAAAGATTTTTTGGTGACCAGAGTTCAGTTTAGCAAACTGGATCATTTAGGAGGGGAAAATGGAGATCAATACCTCTCAGTAATCATAGAAGAGAAAAAAAAAATCTCTGGGATAATGGGTTATGAAAAGAAGAACTCAGACTCTTGAAGGGATAAAAGTAAATTATCTACAAAGTCAAAGTGGGGTATACTCATTCCTGGAGCTGTCAGGAAGAAAATATTAAATATATATTCATTTTGTATTTTATGTTTATTTTGGTTTGTTATTTCTGTTAAAATATACATTTATTTTGGGTGCATCCCTCAAAATATTTTATTGACAAAAGTGAAAAAACAGGGTTTGATGACAACTAATATAAAAGCACTGTTTAATATGGCAATGATAGAATTTTTATCTGTCATAAGCAAAGGTGTGGTGACACCACTTAGCTAAAGTTTTATGCTGAAATTAAAATGCCCTGTGAGTTCAAGTGAGGCTCTGAAAATTTGCTTCAGCAATTACAAGAGCATAATTCAAGTATATATAAAATAGGAGAAGAAAAGTGGAGCAAAGATTTTTTTTCTTTTTTTTTTTGTAAATTGCTTTGAAGAGAGTCTTGCTCTATAACAATTCTCCTGCCTCAGCCTCCCAGGTAATTGGAATGATGGCATGTGCCACGGTGCCCCAACTTCAGCTGGATCAGGAAAGACCCCAGACCTTCCCGGTGGTGCCAACATCTTAGTAGTACGCTGCTGTGACTGGCCCAAGGAAAGATTTTTGACTTGAACATAGCTTTCTTAAATATTGAGTTAGCCCTCAAATATTACTGTAATCTCTTATAGGCAGTATGGTATGCTCAATTGCTAATTTTTAGGCTAAATAAAATATTATTGTTTTCTTTTTAGGCTAGATAAATTTTAAATCATTAACATTCATCTAACGTTCGTCTAGACTTTCTGAATGCTTTTTGTTTTCTTTTACATTCTTTGTATATGTAAAAAGTAATTGTGTTCATTATTAACTTTAATTCATTTTATTGTTTGAAATTAATGGCTAGGTTGCCTAAGTAGAATTTCCATTTAGAAATTCACAGATCCAGCTTTAAAAAAAAATCCTAATAATGAATAGTTTCTAATTACTGATTTTTTTCAAGAGAGTAAGTGGGGAAAAAGTCTAGTTAACTTATATTCTATAATATTGATAAAACTAATATTTTTTAATAAAATACTAAAAGAAAAATCAGAAGACATTCTTGATTATCTATAGTAGCAACAATTGTAAGAAATCGCTATGGGGCCTGTAGGTGGCATGGTGAGTAAGCCCTGGATCCCACATGACTGTGTTTGAGTCCCAGACCCGGCAGCCTGAAGCTCATGCCAGACACATGTGCATGCATGCACAAAATCCCAAGAGGAGAATGGAGGAGAAGAGATTACAGTGTAGCTGTCATCCCTGGGGGATGGCTTACTTTTTCTCTGTCTCTATCTCTTCCTCTCATTCTTTCTGGTGAACACACATACCCTATGACAAAAATTAAACATCAGGTATTGATGATAATAACATATATTTAGAAACCTAACTAAATTCAGAAAAAAAACTTATACAATTATTAGTCTTAGGGGGATATTAGAAAAAGACATATTAGAAAAAAAAAATCAAAGAAAATATTTTGCCAAAGAGAGAAATTTTATTAAAAACTATTTAAGAACACTTTCTTAAGAGTCAAACAAAAATATTTAACATAGGTAAAATAAATAATCACATATTAGAATAAAAGTACTATGTATGGCTAAATGAGAAGAAACTGGAAGAAATCCCATTTGATGATGCTTCAGATTTTAAATTAAAACTGAAATGTGTTTTCAAGTATCCCTTATGATTCAAAACTAGTTGTTTCTTGAGTTCACATTAAACTGTATTTGGGGGAACCAGCAGTTAGCGTAATGGCTATGTCGCTGGACTCCCACGTAGTCGACCGCGGTTCGCGTCTCGGACCCGGTGGCTTAAATCTCACGCCAGGCGCGTGTGCGTGCGTGCCCAAGATTCTGAGAGGAGAATGGAGGAGAAGGGATTGCGGCGTGACCATCCCCCCTGGGGGGTGATTTCTCGCTTTCTGTCTCTATGTCTCTGTCTGTCTGGCGAGCGCACGCACCCTACAGCGAAAACCTCTCCAAAAAAAAAAAAAAAACTGTATTTGAGTTCTGAGTTTCTAGTAGTGGTAATAACAGGATAAAAAAGAATGTATCTTAACATTTAAGAAAAACTAATTCAATTACCAAATTCAGAAAAGATAACTGAGAGCGGAGATTCAGATTATAGCACCTTGATATATTTATACATATGCTGCATATGTAGAATCTGAAAAGATAGTAGGCTATTTATTCTGTCATTATTATATCATTTCGAGAGTTTATTTAATCATCTCTATATCTTTATTCTCTCTCTGTTCCCTACCTCCTCTCTCTTCTTGTTCCATTCTCACAGATGAGTTTGGAGATATTACTCCTCGGTGTCTTTTCTTTGCACTATCTTCCATGGAGTTGTCATCCATTTCTCAAGCATTCCCAGCCATCTAAAACCTCATCTGTAACATTTGTGTAAAAGCTATGAACTGAAGTTGATATTCCAAGTTTTACAAAAGATTTCAAACATCCCCTTTCAGAGGGCTTTATAAGAGGTCATTTAGATTATTCTCTATCACAAGTTTCCAGCAGGAGAAAAAGGGAAGATTGAAGTCTAGCTCAGGGTTAGCTCAACCAGACATGCCCTTGAGCGGTGTAGCCACCTACAGGAAGCATATTTTCTATTAACGTAAGACTTCATATACTCTGGTGAACCTCAGTCTTCACCTAATTTTCCTAATGTCCCCTTAAATTCTCATTGGCACATTAATGTAATAAAGTAAGTAGCCTTTTAAAAATAGTAGCTACAAGAGTAGATACAATGATATACTCTACTCTAGAAAAATTCTCCTGTGAAAAAAGGATGAAGGCTAATTCCAGTCTTTTAAAAATATAAATAATAATAACACATTATTATAGAAATAGAAAAATAGTTTTAAGATATAAGTACCTACAAGTTGCTATTATTTGTCTCTGCTATTTGCAAGTATATGCTATATATTTGTATAGTGTTTGGCGTTTTATGACTTCATTAGGCAGGGTGTGAAATGATGTGGAGAAGGAGGATGAGGAGGTTTAAAGGATGCATATTCTGGAGGTCCCTGAATGCCACTCTAAAAGTTTGGGTTTTATATTTTATGAAATGGGAAACACTAAAAGTATATTTTTGTTTTTGTTTCTGTTTAATGTTTTGGTTTTGGTAACGTGAAAAACACCGAGGGTTTATCTGTAGTTCAGTTTTTTGGTTTAGTTTTGTTTTTGATAAAGTGTGTGATT